AATTAAGATTTAAATGTATTCTGGCTAAAAAAAATTTGAAATGTTCATATTTCTAATAGCAAAAGACTCTTACTTCCTTAGGCCTTGGGTGTTAACAGGGATGTATACTGCTTCACTTTTATAGAGTTAAATTTAAAACTGCTTCGGAAAGAAATCTGAGTCATATACTAACACTTCGGTTTCTTAGACCCTAGTTTGTATGGCATACCAATGACGTAATTGAGTCTTTAAAATGATAAAATGCAGTGAGCCTTTCCAATTACTTTACACTTTCCAGAGCAAAGTTTGATCTCATTTTAATTAAAGATTTCTTATGAAAACACAAGTGCTTTTTCCCAATTAAGAGAAATGCTACAACATAGAAACATTTGTAGCCATAATACAAAAAATTCATGTTAGTGGATGTTTAAAAAAAAAACGGTTAACATATGTTTTCCTTTGCTTTAAAGTTTCCCGTTCACATCTGTTATTTTTCTACTCCTCTATGTAATGGGAATAGCATGCTGTGATGGAGACACCACTGGGAGAGAACAGCCATGTTCTCTCTGACCGTGTCCATTTAAAAAAACCACTGTGGCAAAATAACACCTAGAAATAATCAGCATTAGTAGGGACAAGCATCGCTAACAAGATGTAATCTGCAATTTACTAATCCAATCCTCCATTCAACAAACCTTTCAGCGCTTATACACCTGTGCATTGTACTAGATTCTGCCAGAAGTTAGGTCAGGAAATGGGAGAACTGACAGTGAATGTGCTGGTTTGCTATGAGCTGCCCCGTAGGGAACAAGGCATAAACCGTACCACATGAAAAGGCAGAAGTAATAAAAACATGGTTAGCAAATGGCTGGGAAGAGATCAGTTGAGTGGAAAATTTGGATAAAAAGAAGTAGAGGCAATTTTAACAGGCAAACTAACCAGGGATGAAGCTGAAGATTAAGATGAACAGAAAATATTGGGCCTATGCATGGAGACAGGGTTGATCTCAGACCAAAAAACTGGACTTGGTCAAAAGAAGTGGGACCAGGCTATACTTGGCTACAGAGCCAAGGTCCTCAGGGGATGACTAAGAAGACAACCTGTCCTTAGGGAAAGCCTGTCTTCACAGGTGGCCAAGACCAAAATCTGGCAACACGAAAGAACCCTTTATTTTCAGAGACACCCCATCATAAGGTCTTGATTTGAAATCGAAGGTATGCAATTAAGTGCAGGATCAAAAGTATCATCCAGGTTTCCTTTTTCCCCAATAATTTCTCATAATTGTTGATTAGAGCCATGACGTTAATTCTCAAACGTAAGGTTACTAATTGATTATTGCTAATGTTTTTTGTTTTGTTTATTTCTTGCTGATGTTCTTAATACAAGGATGAACTTCAGAGCTCTGATGAGCAATGCTCACTTCAAAGTTTATCTGTGAAACAGTCAGCTTCCAACCCCTGCCCCCCACCTGCACATCTCTGTCCCTCGGCTTCTACCTTGTGAGGCACAGCAACCTAACAGCAAAACCCCTAGTGCAGTGAGACTGAAGTGAAGTATGACACGGACTTTAAAAAGTTAATATGATCTACTATAATGAGTACAATAAAATATACAAATTTAACACATAAAATATTATCAACTAGTGAGTAAAATGTATAGGATGCTCTATACCCATTCTTGCTAAACTCCCAACATTAAACCAAATGATGCTACCAAGACTTCCTTGTCTCTCCCAAGCAGGGTTAAGCCGCTGTGCCCATGGCCAGTGGGGTCTCTGCTGTGAGCCTTATTGCCCTCTGAGAATTGGTTCGCTGTGTTGTGTCTTCCCATAAGCTGTTTGCTCTTTCCATGTGTTTCCCCCACCAAGCACAATGCCTCACCCCCAGACGTTAATTCCAGACAACCATTAACTGAAGTTAACTCAACCAAGCTAACTAACTAATTACTCATATTTGTAATGTGGATTACTAGCTGTGTTCACACACATCTAGCACAGGTACTAACGGTGGCAGGCTACAGGGCGCTCCCAAGCTTCCCAGCACCATGTGACTGCCCTCTGGGATGAGACCACACTCCCCCCAGGACTCTTTCCCACCTAAGTGTGAGAACCAGTCTTGACTACATGAATAAATTAAATTAGGTGCTCATTCCCTGAGTGCAGATTCCACAGCTCAGAATTCAGGCCCTCTAAATTCTGGTCCAGACTGGCTGCAACAGTCTTACTTTGCTCCTTCAACAGCTAGCCACTATTTCCCAGATGCCCTACTCTGTGTTGTTTACATATTTTGCTCATCTCTTGTATCTGCAAATCTTTCTCCCTGCTTTCCTCTATGGGAACCTTAATATTGCTTCAGACTCCAGTTCAAATGCCTCATCTTCCATGAATCCCATGGATAAAAAGCAACAATGCATGGAGTCTATTTAGATTTGTAAAAGAAAACTGAGTTTCAAAATCACAGATTGTTTTAAAAGATCAAACCACTGGGGCGCCTGGGTGGCTCAGTGGGTTGAGCGTCTCTTGATTTCAGCTCAGGTCATGATCTCAGAGTTTGTGGGTTTGAGCCCTGCATTGGTCTCCATACCGACAGGGATTCTCTCTCCCTCTCTCTTTGGCCCTCCCATGCATAGGTGCTCTCTCTCTCTCCCTCTCAAAATAAATAAATAAATAAACATTAAAAAAAAAAGATCAAACCGTTGCTATTTTGGCATACTGTGTAGGTAGGGATAACAAACTATACATGAATAAACAATTGTTTCATCCTATCTTCTTAGTTTAAAAAAAAAAAAAAAGGCAGCAACAGCAAGGTCATCATCCAAAACCAGTGGGGAATGAGGCTTTAGAGGCTTGTCTAGAAGGAGATGTCATTGAGCAGCATCGAGTGCTCTTGAACTTAAAGTGAGACCAGATGGCGTGGTCTGTTTTCTCTCCACTGACTCTGCTGCGTGAGTCAGGCTGTGAGTAGATGGATAACTGAAGGAACCAGGTTTGGAGTTCATGGGACGAGGATGAGGATGAAAGGGCCAGCGGGCCTAGGGCATTTGCAGACAGGGGGCAACAGTGCTGCGGGTCCAGGCTGCTAAGAGGACCTGAGTACACTGGAAGGTATGAGCGAAGGGCAGGGAGAACACAGTGGGATCCATATATTTAGGTGCCACTGAAACTGTGGAATTACTGCAGTTGGAATCAATACGTGGAGTAAATTATGAAGACAAGTCAGGTGTAAAGGAGCTGCACGCTGGAAATGACAAGGCCCATGGAGTGTGGGTGCACGGCAGGAAATACCACTGAGGGGAACAAAAGATCAAGGGTCCCTAACTCTACTTAACTAACGCCTTCAAGTCCCACATAAACACATGATTACATTCTACACATTTTTAGTTTCTGACAGGAAAATAAACAAGAAACTAGATGCTAAAGTCTGGGAGAGACTTTCTCAAATGGGGTCTGTTAGAGACCATGATTTAAGAAACTACTTTTTCAATTATCCCAATGATGAAAAATGGCTAGTACTGTTCTGGGGGAATCAGAGATAAGTCATATCATGACACACAGTAACCTTTTGACATTAATTCTCATGAAACCCTGAATAAGAATGGTACAGAAAAGTAGCCTCAGAACAAAAGAGATAGGGTTTTTGTTTTTTGTTTTGTTTTGTTTTTTGCTTTAACCTTTACCTAAATAACAAATTTATTCCATCTGGATCACTTTCTAATTTGCAAAGCACTTTTACACACATTCCTCACATGACTGTAACGACCAGTTGATATAAGCAGACAAGCAATTACAATTCTCATTTTATTGAGGCAAGAGGCAGCTATGTTACATGACCATCACAAGTGACAGCCTGAAATAACGGTCTTCAGGTTCCTTGTCCAGTACACCATCCACCACTTGCCACAACTTGAAGTTAACAGGGTTTCTCGAGCTGAGAGCTCCCTCCTTTAAATCTTACTCCACATACCCTCCTATTCCCTGTACTGCCCATCTCTGATTCTCCACCACACCTCAACTCCTGGGAGACCAGTTTGTTGTCAATATTGTTTATCTAGAACTTAACATAAAAACATTAGTGGAAAGAAAGAAACGTGTATAGAATAACCTATTAGAGGCTAAAACATTGCAGACTGTAAATGTTGTATTTAGGATTTGAAGCAATTATTCAAGTAGAGTCAAAGGCAAAACAATTGGGTCCTGGAAATGGTTTCGTGGAGGAAAATTTGAAATCATGGTTAGGTTTGGACAGAAAACACTAAGAGGAAACATGATAGCTATTTTTAATATCTCAAGCTCTTACATAAAGTGGAATGTTTCATATTCTTCTAAGGGCAGAAAAGAGCATCAGGAAACAGAAAAGAGAAGTGGGAAAGTGTTGGTTAATATTAAGTAAGACATAGAGTCTCTCCTCTCATAGGCAGTGACCACCACTGAAGGGACCAAATAGATACGGAACACCCAGCATTTTTAGTGGAGGGGGTACCCAGCTGTGGGGTTGAGAGAGATCATGTTATTATTGTAAATCTACAGCAAGCAAGACAAACTTGGATTCTCTTAAAAGATGGTTATGTAGTCTGATACAATGCAAAGTGTGACCTTTTTTTTTTTAAGGTGTATTTATTTTGAGAGAAAAAGAGAGAGAGAGAGAGAGAATGAGCGGGGGAGGCATAGAGAGAGAATTCCAAGCAGGCTCCACACTCCACCCTACGTGGGACTTGATCTCATCATAGTGAGATCATGATCTGAGCCGAAATCAAGAGTAGGATGCTTAACGGACTAAGCCACCCAGGTGCCCCATGACTTTTTTGATACCACCTTACTGGTACTTAAACATTAATTTTGGTTTCAGCATTGCCTGTTCATTCTGGATATTCTTTTATTTCAGTACAGATACAGATATTATGCATTTTATGTAACTGTCAATTTATATAAGAATTATTCTAAGTTTTAGTCACTTTTCCCACAATATATTTCCTTTCTCCTTGTAATAGGACAAAAAAAAAAAAAAAAAAAAAAAAAAAAGAACATGGGCTTTTTAAGTCCAGCATGTGTCCTTTTCTGCTTTTTTGGAGTCAAAGTATACTGCCAATATGAAAATTATCAATGGGATGAAGATTATGATCAAGAGCCAGATGATGTCTACCAACCAGAATTTCAATTTCATCAGAATGAGGACTATCAAGTTCCTTTTCATCAGTACATGTTAGGCTGTGCCACTGAATGCTTCTGCCCACCCAACTTTCCATCATCAATGTACTGTGACAATCGCAAACTCAAGACTATCCCGCGTGTCCCAGCTCACATACAGCAAGTCTATCTTCAGTTCAACGAAATTGAGGCTGTGACTGCAGATTCATTCATCAATGCAACTTATCTTAAAGAAATCAATCTCAGCCACAACAAGATTACATCTCAAAAGATTGATTATGGTGTGTTTGCTAAGTTGTCAAATCTACTACAACTTCATCTACAGCATAACAACTTAGAAGAATTTCCATTTCCTCTTCCCAAGTCTTTGGAAAGACTTCTTCTTGGCTACAATGAGATCTCCAGATTGCAGACAAATGCCATGGACGGGCTAGTAAACTTGACAATGCTTGATCTCTGTTATAATCATCTTGAAGATTCCATGTTACAAGAAAACATACTTGCTAAAATGAAAAAATTAATGCAGCTCAACTTATGTAATAACAGATTAGAATCCATGCCTCCTGGTCTGCCTTCTTCACTTATGTACCTGTCTTTAGAAAATAACTCAATTTCTTCCATACCAGAAAATTACTTCAGTGAACTTCCAAAACTTAATGCTCTACGAATGTCACACAACAAACTACAAGACATCCCATATAATATTTTTAATCTTTCCAACCTTATAGAGCTCAATGTTGGACACAACAAACTGAAACAAGCATTCTATATTCCAAGGAATTTACAACACCTATACCTAGAAAATAACGAAATTGAAAGTATGTAAAATTTCATTATTTTTTAAAGACAAACAATAGTATTCTGACCTTTTAAAGAACAAATCTTCAAAAACTCTATGCTTTACACATTGCTGAAAATGGTTGATTTGAAGTAGCTAGGGAAATGGCAGAAGGTGGCCTCAGAAAGGTGTGCTATAAAGTTTATACTCTTTTATATTAAATTTCATCACTTGAAGCATTGAGAAGTAGTACTGTAGAGTACATGAAAAAATGGGAGCATCCTGAGTAGTGGGACTCCAGGTGATTTTCACTTTTTTCTTTTTGAGGTTTTTTTTTTTTATTTTATTTTAATTAAAAAAAATTTTTTTTAACGTTTATTTATTTCTGAAAGGCAGAGAGACAGAGCACAAGCAGGGCGGGGGCAGAGAGAGAGGGAGACACAGAGACAGAAGCAGGCTCCAGGCTTTGAGCTGTCAGCACAGAGCCCAACGCGAGGCTCAAACTCATGAACTGTGAGATCATGACTTGAGCCGAAGTCAGATGCCCAACCAACTGAGCCACCCAGGCGCCCCTGAGATTCTTTCTATTAATAACTATCACTTAAATATTTGTTAAATAATTAAATAGCCAACGAAGCCATCATTTTCTTAAAAATTTAAATTACAGTATAGTTAATATACAGTGCTGTATTAGTTTCAGTTGTACAACAATTCTATACATTATTCTGTGCTCATTAAGATAAGCATACTCTTAAAGCCATCATTGGTTTGATAATATAGAATTCATTTGTCATTTTTTTCTTTATTATTTGATTACTATAAAAACTAATTGAACACAATCCCACCTATAAGTATTTTAAGTAATAAAACTATATCTCATATTTTAAAAAAATCCAATGTAGGATTCTAGATGTAATGCAGCAAGATTAATTTTTAATTTGTATTTTTCAGATATCAATGTTACAGTGATGTGTCCATCTATTGACCCACTACATTACCACCATTTAACATACATTCGTATGGACCAAAATAAACTAAAAGAGCCAATAAGCTCATACATTTCCCTCTGCTTTCCTCTTCTACACACTATTTATTATGGTGAGCAAAGAGGCACTGATGGTCAAACAATACAGCTGAAGACCCAAGTTTTCAGGAGATTTCAAGGTGATGCAGAGAGTGAAGAACGTGATGATCAACAAGAAGGTCCAGAACAAGAAGAAACAGAAGAAAACATTGACCCTCGCTATTATGGAAGTTAAGAATGACAAGAAACTATAAGTATACATTTATGATTTTATACATTATTCAGTATAAACTTAACTAAACATGGATAGCTTACAATAATATCTAGAATCATGTATTAGTATAAGATCAGACCGAATTTAAGTTCTTGGTAACATCTGCATCATTACATAAGGTTCAAACCTACTTAAAATGATACAAGTCTTCAGAAATATAAATCAGAATGACAAGTGGGAATAAAAACTCAACTTTAGGGGTGCCAGGGTGGCTCAGTAGGTTGAGCGTCCAACTCTTGATTTTGGCTCAGGTCATGATCTCATGGTTCCTGAGACTGAGCCCTGCCTGCATCGGGCTCTGCACTGACAGCCTGGAGCCTGCTTGGGATTCTCTCTCTCTCTCTCTCTCTCTCTCTCTCTCTCTCTCTCTCTCCCTCCCTCCCTCCCTCCCTCCCTCCCATGCTTGCGCACACAATCTCTCTCCTCAAAATACATAAAATAAAATGTAAAAAAAAAACCCTTAACTTTCAACATAACAGTATTATCAAGCTGAGAACAAAGTATGCCATCTCAAGTAAAAGTAACTGTTCTAAGAGTGATGAAAACAATAGCATTAGAAGCTGAGAACTACAGGCCCTCTGCTTTGAATCACTAGGAGGACGGTGTTGAGACTCCCCAAGTGACATTCATGTAATGGGCAGCCATTCATTTAGCAGTAAGTTGTTTTCTTCAACCTGGCCTCCAGAAAAACTTGCACACTTGCACACTTGTGTGTGAAATCTTGCCACCAGGGTATCCATCTCCTTGGCCCTACCATTTAGAGCAACAGAGGATACTTCTGGTTTTCAAAAGAAGCCATTCTACTAAGGGTCTAAGACGCGTAGTTTCATGAAATCAACTGGTCTTTGTTTTCTCTCAGAGCACCAAGGCAACAAAATCTGCATTTGGATAACTAAAAACCACCAAATTATCTCATCACAATCCATATTTTAGCAGATTTCAGCAACTGTCCAAAACAATGTCTTCCATTTTAACTGGGATAAATTTTTTTTTTTAACGTTTATTATTTTTGAGAGAGAGACAGAGACAGAGAGTCAGAGAAAGAGTGAGAGAGCGAGAGAGAGAGCGAGAGAGAGAGAGGGAGAGAATGAGTGGGGGAGGGGCAGAGAGAGAGGGAGACACAGAATCTGAAGCAGGCTCCAGGCTCTGAGCTGTCAGCACAGAGACCGATGTGGGGCTCGATCCCACGAACTGCAAGATCATGACCTGAGCCGAAGCTGGACACTGAATCGAATGAACCACCCAGGTGCCCCAAGATAAATGGTTTTATAGTAAACTCACTACAGAAAGTCTTTTTGTGTTGTAGTTACATAAAGAATTGCTAATAAATAACTGCTTTGCTCAAAAGGTTAATTTAGCACACAACAATATGCCAGCATTATTAAAACACATCTTCCTAGCATGATATATTAGAAATATATATGTGTATCAGCCAACATTTACTTAATTAGCACTAAATTTGAATAGAGTTCCTTTAAAATTTGGACAAGTTTGATGTCTTCTTTAAAACCTTAGAAGCATCTATTATATATTCTTTTATTTTGAAGTATCTTAAGTATGCCTTATAATGAAGATGATGGAGCTTCTGTGATGACCTTTCTCAATTTACCAGGCTAACATTTCACAGAGTCCTCAGATGAAGAATAAATACAGATGGGAGCTACCTATGCAGGGACCCCAAAGAATAAACGGTAACAATATGGACAACAGGCAAGCATCAGACAAAACTATTTTAGGAGTTTTCAAGTGGTGAGTCTTGGAGATAAAGTGTAAAAGGAAGCCCCTAATGCTCTTTATTTCTTTGGGTAGGTTATCAGCATTTAGCAGAAACAGAACACCCACCTGTCCGTAAGGACAAGCTCAACAATTCAGAATGAACACAAACAACAGTCCAATGAACATTCATGAGGTCATTTGGTTCATAGAGTTTGCAATGAAGGCACAAGATAGAAAGCACATGTGCATCTGTGACACCACAAGATACAAGTATGAGGGTAACAGAGCAATATGCTAATAATATGGACAAAGCACACTTTCAACAGAGGTAAAAAAAAAAAAAAATTAGGGACCACCTCCCCCTTTACTGAAACTTTAAAAAATAGGCTCATAAATTTAAATATTTATTATGAGCGAATATTGGAAAGTACTATGGGTGTTTCAGGAGATAAAAATGATATAAATATTTCTAACCTAAAACAATTTAAAATTTTATGAGAAGCCATCGAGGAAATGAAAACGAAAACTACAATGAGAGACCCTTTCACTTTCCCTGGGACGGCTAGAATCAAAAAGACAGACAAGTAACAGATGGTATTAGCAAGGAGGTAGGGAAAGTAGCCTTTCCCACACTGCTGGTGGGGATGTCGAATGGTACGGCTGCCCAGGGAAGCAGTCTGGCCATTCTTCAAAAAATTAGACTCACTTACGTAGCAATTCCACTCCAAGACATAGATTCAAGAGAAATGAACACATATGTTGGCACAGAACACAGAAACATTTGGAAACAAATGTTGGTAGCAGCACTATCCATTAATAGTGAAAAAGTGGAAAGCACCCAAATGTCCATCAGATGATGAATGGATAAATAAAATGTGGTCCATCCATACGGTGGAATATTATTCAGCCAAGAGAAGAAGTACTGATACATCATGCTGTGACATATATGAACCACGAAAATACCATGCTAAGTGAAAACTCCGTCACATAAGACTGTATACTGCCTGATCCCATTTGTATGAAGTATCCAGAGGGGCAAATCTATAGACACAGAAAGACCACAGAGTGCCTGGGGCTGGGGCGAGGGCAAGAGTGGGAAAGTGGGGAGTAACTGTTAATGAGCAGAGGGTATGTTTCTGGGGTGATGAAAATGTTCTAAAATTGACTGTGGTGATGGTTGTACAAGTCTAAAGATACTAAAAATTACTGAATCACAGATTTTAAAAGGGTGAACTGTATGGGATGGAATTGCCTCAATAAAGCTGTTAAAAACTATAACAAAGAAAGATCAACTCATTCCAACACAAGGAAGGAAGAAAGAAAATGCTAACGTGGCAGTAACAAATAAAGATGATGTGAGCACAGATGTCCCAACTATTTCTGGCCAGGACTTGGAGAAGTAGCTCAAATTTCAAGAAGAGGTGGGACTGTGATGTGCGAGCAGGAACTTATGGCCAGGAGTGGGAGGAACAAGCTCCTGAGATGAGATGAATATAAGTATGTGGCAATTACTTCCTTCACCTCTTGCACTGCTTAAAAACAAAATGAAATAAAACATTCCAGTTTTCAGAATTCTGGAGCTTCTGTTTATATCCTCCTAAACTGATTTTTTTCTAAGTTGATTTTTTTAAAAATCCTCAGACAGCAGCCTTTGTGAAGAATAGAATTGCACAATTTAGCAATCCAAAACAAGGAATGTGAAATTTGATAAGCTCTGGCAGAAGCCAGACCTGGTCGGTCGTCCAAGCCAGATGCCTGTGAGTCAGGTACAGAGGGAGCTCTGAAGCCTCCCTTTCCGCATTCCTACAAGAAAGCTGGTTCTCATAGGGCTACTAAAAGCATAAAGAGACACGATACATACGACAAAGTATTTAATAAAGTGCATGCCAGTTCTAGGTACCAGACAAGCAGCAACCAGTACTTCAGCACAGCCAGCCTAGCAGGCTGCTCCATCTGTGTGCCCCCTGATGTCAGACCTGGGTGCTTTCTCAGAGACCCCAGAAAGCAGCCAGCATCTCTGGGGGTTCCTTCCTTGATTCTATCTGTACAAAAGATTAGTGAACAAGAAAGATTTCGCTAAGGGTCTTCTTAGGGAGAGAAAAGAGGGTACTTAAATCATAGGCCCCAAACAAACATATTCCAGGTCACTATCTCTTAGTTCAGCTTTCCATAGCATCTCTGGACAGCCTGCCAGGGCAGAACCGAGTTCCCTCCACCCCCTGGCTGGGCCCTCTGCCACCTGGCTCCTCTGGCTACAGTAAGGTCACACTCTTCCAGCCTGATTGGAAGAAGAGGTCAACTCTGCTCAGCCTCCTCCCTCCAAAGGGGTGCCTGTGTGAACGGGTCATCCAGCTGCAGGGCCCAATGAGGAGGCAGGTTAACAACCATTTTTTGCTACTCAAAAACGGCCCTGAGGAACTCATACCCACCGTAAGAATTTCTCATTAAAAAACAAAACAAAAGCCAATGCTTTCCCTAGGAGAAACTGAAGAATAACGTAAGTACTTCTTTAGCACAAGATTGCACAATTATCTATCACAGCTACGAACAAAACCAGTTGGTTTGATATTTACAACGGTGGGGGGGTGGGGGGAGTATGGGTTAGCTACTAGGCTGAAGAGCATTTGTGACCACTAACTAATAAATCCGAATCACTCCATGAACCCAGGGTTAGTTACGAATCATAGTCTACATTTAGCTTTTATTTTTTATTTATTTAAAAAAAATTTTTTTAAGCTTTATTTATTTTTGAGAGACAGAGAGAGAGAGAGACAGACAGACAGAGTGTGAGTGACAGAGAGAGGGAGACACAGAATCCGAAGCAGGCTCCAGGCTCCAAGCTGTCAGCACAGAGCCCAACGTGGGACTTAAACTCACGAACCGCCAGATCATGACCTGAGCCGAAGTCGGATGCCCAACTGACTGAGCCACCCAGGCGCCCCTACATTTAGCTTTTAGAAAAGACATAAAAATAAAGGCTATTTCATAAATTTGTTCACAATAAAACTGGATGGGAGTGTCTAGCTTGTGCCTGCACATTACCTGCACATTTTCCCTTTATTCCCAGGGTTGGGACAACTAAACTAAAGCACAGATGTGTGCATCTCATGTAACACACTTACCCAGCTCCAAGGGGAAAACAGGAGGAATAAACCTTGTCTCTCCTGTATACTTTGTTGCAAAGAATTCATAGGACCCCAAGGACGGCTAGAACTAAAACCCCCTGGTTTCCTGATTCCAAACCC